ATTGCACTTCGATCGTGTGTAAGCTCCCCAGCATAAGCAAATCGTCGGCGTAGATGATTAGTCGGATTCCGTTCTTCCTGCAAAACTGTCGTAGATCGTGCACGAGAAGGTTGAAGTAATAGGGGCTGAAGGAAGCGCCCATGGGCAGGACTAGATAACACCATAGTCTCTCAGTTTTGTCGTAAAATTGCCAATCTAGCGGATTCTTGACCTTTAGAGCATAGAAACCATCCTTTATGTCCGCTGACGTCATGTAGTCCCCTTTTCGAGCGACTAGGTGGAGGCGATCGAGCCCTTTCATACGGAATTCCGGGGTTCGGCTGCCGTTGTTGATAATGGTCGGGGCGAAAATGCCCCGAGCCCAAAGTTGGTCGCTCTTCAGAATGAAGAATGAGTTGTGGATGCGATTGCGACCGATCTCCTTTGATCTCGCTAGTCGAATCACCTGTTCTGAGGCTGGTCGTGTCAGCCATGTTAGTATTTATGTGGCTGACTTCCGGGTTTGGAATGGATCGCCTCCCCCCCCCCCTCCCCCCCCCCCCCCATGGCACTCGCTCAGAGGGGGGCTGGTTTGTGTTCCATGGTATCGATACTCCGTACTTTATCGCCTGAATACGGCCAGCACCTGCCTTGCGCCAAGTCATGAGTTTTCTACGTACCCGGATTGCTAAAGAAGTGATCGCAGATGTATTGTCTGGTGTGATTGTGGCTTGAGTTTCTTGTTCCGCTGCCGCCTTGCCCGCCACTTTAGCCAAGAGCAGGTCGTGCCGCCGTTTATTAACGGCTGCAAAAGATTTTGTCATAGGACCTTCGTAACAGTATTCGGCGCGTGCTTGGTTCAACACGTTGTTTGCTAGTCCCGCACCGTAGTGAATACGCATGTGCTTAGTCCGGCAAACTATTAGATCGATGATTGCTGTATATGCCTGTGTCAGTTCCTCAGCATTAGTGCAATGACCTGCTTCAGTCCCCACAAAACCAGATTGAAACGGTTGATGGCCGCGCTCAATCCGTATTGTACTGTGGGCTTTTTCTTGAAATATCAAGTAGGGACTTGACACGGCAGATTAGCTAGGCCAGTTGGGAATGACACTCCGTGAATGAAGTTAATATCGCCGAGAGAATACTTCTTACGTCGTTTCTGTTGGAAGTCAAGTATCCACACAAGAGTTGTTTGCGTGCGGCGAGGAGAGTACATGCACAACGGGTTGTTCCCTCGGTCGAATAAGTCGTGATCGCACAAACGCCTACTGCTCGTCTTGAGTTTCTACGAATGGTTGTGGGCTGCCTTGATCCATTTTTCACGAGGGTGAAGCTTGGAGAGAGTTTGGTGCTGACCAACGCCTTGACTCTTACAAGTAAGGGACTTTCTATTCCGATAAAGAGAAAGACTGATGAGTACTACTGGCTATAGTAGTAGTATGTGTCATTAAATAACCTCAGCCCCTTGAAAGGTGAGCCGTGGGTGTATTAAATACGAACCTGGCTGATGGGAATTTATCATCTAGATAAGAATTTCATTAATCAGCCAAGGAGTATATTTATGAATAGATATAAGATATTTTTATTAACCAATGGGAATGCTTGGTTATTGACTAGTAGCGTTTTCATTGACTAGTAGCGACACGCCAAACTTTTATGCGATACAAATTCAGTTGTTACCCTTCTAAGAGTGCATCTGCCTCTGTGTCCATACTTGAATGTACTACGCTAGATTTGAAGGAAATTTCCGAGCTTACGGTTCAGCGCAACGATTAACTAGATACTTTTGAGTGAATATACAAGTTCCGCCACGAGCTGGTAGTCGACAACATGTCCGTCATATTGCGAATGCCAACGAAACTAATTTATACCAAGTTGGTTGCATAAATTTGATACCACTGAGATAGCTAAAGGAAACAACACTCATCTGTAAAATGGCACGGAAAATGAGCCTAGCAAGCAGCGAGAGCAAATAAGTAAATTTTCTAGTTTTAAATCTAACCACACAATTCGTATATTGGCATGTCTACAAGTGTAACCGACGGGGTATGTCGTTTCCTCGACAATATCACGAAGGAGTAGTGACAACGTGAAATGGGTGGGTCACATCGATAAAGTCATCTTCACGGTCGACACATATGAGCCTTGTTTATGATGTTAATTTGGGACGAATAAAGTAAAATGATTTCGTCGTCATCTTTCTTAGGAAGGTGTACTGTATGCTACAAGACAGTGTGCTTTAATCTAATACACCTCTGAAACCATCACATCTTAATTTAGGAACTAGAAGTTAAACCAAGATCTGATCAGATTTTTGACTAGAAAGCTAGAGGCTCTCTTGGCAGCTGTAACGGGTGTTTATGATAATTCGTTTTTCGTACGATATCCGAACAATAATTCGCTGTTGTCCATAAAATAACGCTCATTGTTGATAGGTAAGTTTTGCACGACAGAAAGTCAAGTTCATGAGCTCAACGTTTGATTCATTCTTAAAGATCTAACGATATTCATGATGGGGCGAATACGGAGTGCAGATCGCAAACACAGTGATATCTCGGAACACAGTCGCTGAACTATTTGTGGTTTTAAATTTTTCGCCTGCTACCATTCACTGACAATAAATGCATTTACAGTTGACTATAAATTGTACCTTCGTTACCATTGGTACTCTTCGTACTAAGCAGATTATTAAGGTCAGTTTACGCATATCGAATTCTGGAAATCACAGTCGTACTTCATCTATAAGGAGTGATTATGAACATATTTTATATGAATGAATAGGGGTTTAATTTATTTTATTCGCTTAAGAACGATACTGGATTAAACCATTTCGCGACATTATCTCTCAATCGCTTCTGAGGACCTCTGAACGAATTCAGAGGTAGTACCACTATAGAATTTTTAAAACTCTCACAAAAGAAGTTTTCTGTCTATACCACATTATGAAGCGTGGAGAGTTTCTTTTTGAACAAATCTTTGAAAATCAGTCTATTCGTTTTCAACGACTCTATAGGATAGCCTGAGGGGGGAAGTTTTACGTCACTGGGCAAATTGTGACTAGGAGCGAATAAAACTCAACTTCAAAGCAAGAATCCTATTTCGCTAAATGAATTAGTGTGGGCTATTTATTGCCAAATCTAAAACCATTTGCTAAACACTGCAGTTGATTCAATCTCGTTTCAAATCAGATTAGTTTGTATATCGATAGTCTACAAACCACGAAACTGTTATGGTTTCTCCAGCAGTATACTTCGCTAGTTTGCGGCCGTTTAAATGTTGTCACTTATGTAGTTGTGGTACCCATGTTGACGGATATCTTTTGGCATAGCCCTCTGCATTTGTGTTTCGTATTTGAGTTTCGTAAAACCCAAATCCAAAAGATCATGCTTTTGGCACCTGTCGTTGGTAATCTCGTTACATGTCGAACAATTCTATATCAATTTTAAGGATCCGAACAAGTAGGTATAGAAGTAAAACATTCTAATACCATTTTTGTTTTGGGCATATATATTTTAAGTACATGTGGATGTACACGATATTTTATTTATGTGTAGATGTCAGTGTGGTAGTCGCTGACTCTTTTTATGTTCTTATGCCGGTTTTGGCGCACTTGGCATGTCAAATGCTAAGACACTTGCAGAGCTCAACGATCCGGAAGAACTGTCCCGCAGCAGAGAGTGAAAATCAGTGGACTGCCTTCTGACAGTGGCCACACTTCGAATTACGAATCGGTGTATCATATCTGCGTGAGAATTTTGAGGAAAAAGTCGAAATTCATTAGTGTCTCAACATGCTTACCTATAAAGAAAACTGTATATAGCTCTGAGAAAGTACTTCAGCTGTTAATGATTCTGCACAGATAACTGCATCCATAAAACCATGCGACGGCTACTCGACGAACACTTACCAGATGTCGCAAAGACGCCACCGAGAAGCCCCACGAGTCTAATTATAGCAGTAAGAATAGATCGGTTGTGCTCCTTTACATGCATCTTCAGCGCAGTGATGTCGAAGGTAAAGAAAATACCTGTGTATGAGCATTGTTTGTGATTTTTTTTAGCTCAGCAGTCGATTATATTACATTCTGATTCTTTTAAAAAGCATCTACAACGTGTATTTCGCGACCCAAAATCCGACATCAATTTTTTTAAGACCACAGATTTTCTTTTTAAAGGAAATTTTGGACTAGCAGCAACAGACCGAGCTACGTTTGGAGAACTGTTATTTTAAACATCCCGATAAAATCTGGAAAGTCGTAGAAAAACTTCGCAAGAATATATTTATCTTCAACTACACTGCCCGTACTCCATAATCGATCGCTATTGGGTACCGAATATACGAGCAAGATCAAATCTGAAGATTCAGTAATGATCGTCGGCACTCGGGAGCTCATACACTAGAAAGCCTTGTACACGCCATTTGAATAAAAAGCGCCTCCAACCTTCTATATTTGAGGTGGATTAAAAAAATCGTACATATACAGTTCTATTTTTGGATGAGCATGCGTCTAAGACGGCTTTTGAGATACATTCAAGTGTACAAGCCGACCAAAAGAAGGCCGCATGCACTCACCTGGGAAACCTTCTTTGGGATCTTTCATGTAGCTGTACGTGTACCAGTTCTTGACTTGCGAGCCTACATTGTCCCAAAGAATACTGGCACTGGCGTATTCATACTCGGTGGGCACGACATTCAGGTGGTATTGTGTCGACCCAAGCACTGGTGGATAGCGAGGTATGCTGTAGTTATATATACACGAGGAGACATAGCAAGAACTATGGACTCATCGACAATTCTGTGCGACAAGTTGAAATGCCACATGCTATGTGATAGACTGACTGACATGTTTAGCAAGTATTTGGTACAATGCGCAAAACTGCAATGTTCACTCAGCGAGATATTCATTTGGCGGAGTCCAACAACCAGATCCTAGACAGTCCTTATTTATATCTGGTCTACGTTTGGGTTAGGCAATGGGATACTCGAAGTGTATGGGATCGATAACAACTTGGGTGACAAACCCATCTAGTAGCAAGGTCAGAGGGAATTAATGACGTTGCGATAACATACCACAATGTCATTAGAGTGACCAGTGTATAGAAACTCTGTACTGAGTGGGAGCAGCATGTGACATGAAGTGGGGTCTAAAGTTGTGCTTGGTCAGCAAAATCTGTTCGAAGTTTAACGTGTGCCTGATACAAAAGAAACTTATAGAGTGTGCGGAAGCTTGCCAAGTGGAGCTGGAATGTACCACCGCAGACCACGTGCTGATGTATGGTATTGTCGTGAGCACATCATAAAATTTACCGAGTACATGTTTGTTCCCCAATGCACAGTTACCGGACAGTAAAAGTAGACAAAACCAATCATGCAAGGTTGAGGTTGATTCGCTTACTTACTGCTTTCTATGACTGCATCTGATCCATCGAGGCCGCTGACAAGATCGGGGTAGTGCTCACCCGGATGTGCAAAAGACAGATGTCGGATGCGATGTGTGAAGTTCATTTCTACGGGATAGACCATTGTAGTATAGCTTAGTATAAATATATTCTGTTGTGTTGTGACTGATGGCAACCTTTGTGAACCGTTATACGGTTGACAGAATGGTATTCTGGGCAATAAGGTTACTTGCAATGGACATCGTATTGGTCGATGAGCTATTGTAAACGCCTACTTTATGTGGGTGCATGAACTGCCGGAGAGCGATGTGCCGTTGACACGATCGAGATGTTTGACTTACTGGCAAGAGGGATGTTGGTATGGATGTGCTTATTTCCCGTGTTGGCCTTCAATTCCCCACCCGTGAAATGGAAATTTCCTTTCACCTGAACAAGTAAGGATAGTCAAAGCGAAAGCAAAGAATAGTCAGGTGCCCACCGAGTAACTTTGCCAGTGGAATCAATACACACGCGTACAGCTGAAAGAACGTGCCGAGCTAATATCGATTCTCTGGGGAAAGGCTTTTAGACAACAGTCAGCTGCAGGTATGCCATTCAATCCTTATGGGGTTGCATGTCATTTTTTTCAAAGTGAGTTGCACTGCACGTTAGACACATGCATCTCAAGACGATATTGATGCTGTCAGCATTCACCAAATCATACTTAGAGGTGTGTATTCGTATAGTGCAACAAATGATGAGAAAGGGGCTCTTTTATCAACACAGATTAGAGATACAAAAAGCACATTCTTCTATGAATGATCAAATCAGCTGTTCAGGCCAGCCACTTCCAGAACAAATGCATCCGCCAACAATATGTCACAAACAGCAGAAGTAGGCGATACACCAACTCTTTGCAAATGATTGGAGCTTGAATAGTACACGCTATTACGCGCTTGTGACTTTCAGCGGGCAGCTTCTGTAACCAGCTGAATTCTACTATGTGACCCCAGCCACTCAACTAGATATGATTATGAGCACGCGTCGGCTGAAAGCGAGAAACTTTGTCTCGCGACCATCGTCATTCTCAAAACACAACAGAACCTGAAGTGGTATTTTCCAAGAAATCTTACCATGGCCACGTCCACTGCGCCATGTATCCGACATCCATCTCGTTTTACTGCGTCATCTGTGTCTGTGAAGGAGAAGACGATGTTAGATCTATTGGATAACCATATAGAGCACCAAAATCGAGGCATACAACCTACGCTCAATAAATCATTCTACAGATGACAATGTCAAATTCAATTGTTAAATGGCTACAATTGTGGTCTACGATGATATCTTATCTCTAAAGCATCAGCAGGACTGGAACGGATAGGTGCGAGTACCATTCAAAAGACATTCGACTGGAATATATAGGAACAGCTGTAAAGTACGCGTGCGTCGAGCTCTCTGATTGGTAGATGTGGTTTTATTTGGATATGGATGTCATTCACACTATTTTTTTTTGGCGCACACACAGGGTGTCCCTTCATACCTCTCACATGGAGAGTTGGTATGACATAATGTGTGGGTTGCACAAAAAACAGTAAAGCATACGTATGGAGTGCTCCTGCTATAAGACAAACTAGAGATTTTGCTGAATTTTCGTACGACATCTTCCGACATAGACATGGTATTACTTCTTTGCACTCGAACCTTCGACACGAACATATAGAAATCGGTACTTTAAAGGCATCGGATATATGCGATAAATCTTGGTGTGCATATACAATAATATATACTCACCATTTTCCGGCATTTCTTGGGAGTTGATGAATAATGTAGTACTATGGAAGCGTGACAGATGGGGAGGCTGACCTTCCAGCGAATGGCTACGATCAACACTAGCCGCCTCTTGATTTTCTCTGTTTCACGATAGTTTATAGCACGTATAGATAAATATATCTTTCAGCTTTCGTTTGTACGAAAACCACCCATATGGAAGTATTTTATCGGTTTGCTGGGACATACACGGGTAGTGCTTGATTGCCCCATATCGACAATTTCAGAACCTTTAATGGCATAATCGCTTCTTCCCCACAACTTAAAACTTAAAAAAATATTTTGTACTGAACCAGAAAATAGATAGATTAGGATTATATCGATGACCATCAAGTATGTTCAGTGCAAAATATAGGTAATTGAACAAATACGACTACTGTTGCAGATAGCAGAAGCATGGAGAACAACTTACACACCTCCACCAGCCTTCTTGATGCTCATCCAGGTCATATATAATCTGTATGCGAAGTCGGAATCAACAATTAATATGCTATGAGCGTGCAAGCTTTGTTCGGAACCTCGTGAGCACATTCGTTGGTTCAGCTCAGTGAGCTCCACCACCTGGTACAAAGTAGTCTTTTATACTGAGATAGGTGATTTGATTCGTATTTTAGATTGAGCGTGGGACCGATAGATGCGGTCTTGAAATGTGAACATATATCGGCCTCTATTAAGTCCTCTGCTTGGAACAAAAGGGGCGACCTGGAAAGTGTGGTTTGCGCGTGTGGTGGCAGGTGTATACATGACTATTTAGATGTGCATAGGCTATATTATTTAACAGCCTAATACCAATACAAAATCATATCGAAATCTAGTAACCGGCCTCATCTAAATGCACGCCAGAATCGTTCATCATCGACTTTAAGTGCGTGATCAAAAGTATAAATGAATTCCTCTTGTGGGCTGAGCATTATGTCGCTGAATACGTGGGTCGATGTAAACAACATTTTAAGAACAGGTTCGTGATGATCCGGATAAACATATGCAAATATTGCATCATATTCTACAGACCTATCAACGGATAAAAAGACGTTCCACTTACAGGTACTTTGGTAAACTCGGACTGAACCATTCCGCCTGACATATCGATGACGTCGCTCGCGATGACTGTTGGCGTATGAGAGGGAATATCGTGATAGAAGATTTAGATAGCGAATTGGTTGACTAATACGATAATATTAAGTACAAACATGACAGCATTTTAGTATTGCAAAGACGGTACATGCAATGTATAGTACTATTGACTATATATATTAACAGATTTTTAGATAGCAGCACCTACAGGCAGAGCAATTGTTCATACAGGGAACACTACGATATATTTGCATACCACATTTGCACGAGTAAAGTGAATGAGTTACAGCAACATAACAAATAGCAAGATCTCACAATAAAAGCCACAGACCATATTAACATGTAAGATGCGGAATCAGTTAAAGCCGCGAGTAGGGCAGCGGGTATTTTCTCTTTTACCTCGCGTGATGGCGACAATTGCTAATTTCTATCGAAACCAAGCTATGATAGGTCCAAAACTAACTTACGTTCGCATTCGGTTTTGATGTCCAAGTCTATGTAGAGCTCCATTTTATTCGAGCCATTCCTGGTGACATCGACTCGGTAACTGAAAATTCATTCGAGCGCAGAAAAATAAGACGATAGAAGGACTGGCCAAAGCTAGTCGAGTTTTGAACTCCGATGAAGCAGACTCAACAGCAATGTTGTGGCGTCGAGACGAGTTCGAACAAATTTAGAAACAAAAGAGATATATATATATACATATATATATATAAATATATAAATACACACACACGCACACACACACACACACACACACACACACACACATATATATATATATATACATATATATATATATATATATATATATATATATATATACACAC